CCCCCCGCACCCGGGACCGGCTGGCCAAGGAGTGGCAGGCTCTCTGTGCCTACCAGGCTGAGCCCAGCGTCTGCTCCATTGCCCAGAGCGAAGCCAACCTGAAGAAGAACCGCAACCCTGACTATGTGCCCTGTGAGCATCCCAGTCCCTGCCCTGGGGACCAGCTCCCAGGGCCATGGCAGGAGGGTGGTGTGGGGCAGGGGGATGCCTGGGGCCGAGGCGCAGCTTTGTCCCCAGCTCCCCCAGGCGCTCACCACCCACCCTGGCCTCTGTTTCCCCAGATGACCACGTGCGGATCAAGCTGAAAGCCGAGAGCAACCCATCCCGCAGCGACTTCATCAACGCCAGTCCGATCGTGAGTGCTCACCAGGGGCTCCTTCCCTGCCAGCCCGCTCCACGATGTGCTCAGCCCAGGCGAGGCTCCTGCTCTGGGACAGAGCTGGACCAAGCTCGCATCGCTGTGGGCTACGGATGTGAGCAATGTGCCTGCCCCATTGCTCAGATGTGGTTAAAGTCTGTTTCCCTCCTGGCTGCGGCACCCGAAACGCCCTCCCCAGCCCTCTCATCACCTCTGGAGTGTCCCCTGCTCCTGCCAGTATCCCTGACGCGCAGTCTGACACCCCCTTTCCTTCTCCAGATCGAGCACGACCCGCGGATGCCAGCGTACATCGCCACGCAGGGGCCGCTGTCCCACACCATCGCTGACTTCTGGCAGGTGAGCGTCACCCGGCTGTGCCAGCCCCTCGGCGTCCTTCGGGGTGCTGCCCACCGGATCATAGAATCATTAGGGCTGGGAAAAGACCTCTAAGATCATCAAGTCCAACCGTCAACCAACACCACCATGCCTGCTAAACCGTGTCCCGAAGTGCCACTTCTGCACGTTTTTTTGAACCCCTCCAGGGATGGGGACTCCTCCACTGCCCTGGGCAGCCTGTTCCGATGCCTGACCTGATGGGTCACAGCGGCTCGGCCGCCCCCCTGCCCAGGCTGTCACCCAGCGGTGACACCCACCCATGCCTTGCCCGCAGATGGTGTGGGAGCACGGCTGCACTGTCATCGTCATGCTGAGCCCGCTGGCTGAGGACAGCGTCAAGCAGTGTGACCGCTACTGGCCAGATGAAGGCTCCTCTCTCTACCACATCTATGAGGCAAGTGTGGCCGGTAGCCCAGGGCAAGGAGCATCCTCCAGCCCCTCTGCCCATCGCTGACGCCTGCCGGCCGCCTCCCTTGGGCAGGTGAACCTGGTGTCGGAGCACATCTGGTGCGAGGACTTCCTGGTGCGCAGCTTCTACCTGAAGAACGTGCAGTCACAGGAGACCCGCACCCTGACGCAGTTCCACTTCCTCAGCTGGCCGGCCGAGGGCATCCCGGCCACCACCCGGCCCCTCCTCGACTTCCGCAGGTGAGTGCCCACCTGGCGTGTGCCAGCCCCGGGGAGCCGGCGGTGGTCCCGACCGCGGGGGACTGATGGGTGAGGACATCGCTGCCGGTGTGATGAGGGTCAGGGCTGGGGCATGGACCAGCTTGAGGGGGGCAGGGGGCTGCCGTGCATGAGGAGGAGCAGAAGAACCGGGTTCTGGCCAGCTTGGGATGAGGCTCAGCAGAGCCTGGCAGGCGAGAGGCCTCCAGCTGAAGCTGCCAGGGCTCTCCAGCCTTCAGGGTGGGAAGGTGCTCTTCCCTGGAGCTGGCATGGGGCACAGCACCTCCCGGCACCCTCCCCAGCTGTGGGTGGAAGACGAAACCCCCAGAGCCAGCCTTGAACAGCTGTGGCCCATTGCTCCCCATGCCCTACAGCCAGCAGTGGGTCCCCACCTAGCCCGGGGTGAGGGGTTACGGGGCTGGGACTGCACCCAGGAGGTTAGCAGGCTGTGTCTGCTGGGGTCTCAGGCTCCCAGGGTGGTGGTGGATGCCTGCTGGGGGCTGGCTCGTCTCTGTCCCCAGGCCGTGTGGGGCCAGGGACACTGCTTAGGGCAGCGGGGAGGTCCCCGAGCACGTCACCCTCCCCTCCACCTCGCTCACGCTCTCTCTGTCTCTCTGTCTGTCTCTGTCC